CTATGTGAACAAAGTTATAATACCCTTGTGCACAAGTGCGCTCGGGTATAAAAACGAAGACCAAGGTAATTTTAAACACTTTACTTATATATATAAGGGCAAAGGTGAAGGGGAATATGTTGATGAAGACAATGATAAACATAAAAGTAAAAACAATGATGAGGATGAGGATACCGATAAAAGTAAAGATGAAGATAGGGGAAGAAAGATTAATATATTAAAATAAAGTTAATTAAAGAGGAAAGGATATAGAGAGAGACACAGACTCAATCTGGTATCTATTTTGGGATTTTAGAGATTTTCGGGATTCTCGAGACATCGATAAAATAATCGATATTTTTATCGGTTTTGTTATCCATATTTTTATCGATTTTGATATCGAAATCTTTATCGGTATTGTTATCAATTTTGCTATCGATATTTTCGGGACTTATCGATATAATAATCGATATTTTTATCGGTTTTGTTATCCATATTTTTATCGATTTTGATATCGAAATCTTTATCGGTATTGTTATCAATTTTGCTATCGATATTTTCGGGACTTATCGATATAATAATCGATATTTTGATCGATATTTTTATTGATTTGTTACCGATTATGTAGTCGATATTTTTGACTATTTTGTTATCGATATTTTTTATCGATATTACCCGATTTGGTTATCGATATTAGTCGATTTTGTTACCGATATTTATAGATTTTCCTATTGATATTTATCGATTTTTTGTCGATATTTGTCGATCTTGTTATCGATATTTATTGATTTTGTTATCGATATTTATCGATTTTGTTATGGATATTTGTCGATTTTGTTACCGATATTTATCGATTTTATTATAGGTAATCTTATAGATATTTTGACCGATTTTGCTATCGTTTTTGTTATCAATTTTACTATCGACTTTGTTATCGATTTTGCTATCGATATTTTTATCGAATTTGGTATCGATATTTTTATCGGTTTCGTTGTCGATATTTTGATTGATTTTACTATCGGTTTTGTTATCGATAGAGTATAAAGATAAAAATGAAGATAAATGAAAACGGAATAAAATAAATGTAATTACAACAATCAGAGTAGATGTAGGGATACATATACATATAGATAGAAAACAAAAAATAACCCTAAGCAAAAGCAAATGTATGTATGGACATTTGTATATTGGTTATGAGACAATCTAAATATGTATCGTAAGTTTCACTTCTCCTGTGTGGCCCAGGCGCACTTACTTTTTAACCGACTTCCAAAAAAGGAGGAGGTTATCAGTTCGTCGGAATATTTTTATTTTTTTTTTATGTATGTTACCGCATAACTTTGGACCACGTCAACCGATTTCGATAATTGTTTTTGCAAGGTAGTGTCTCAGAGGTGGTCCCTTACTAATCTGGTTGAGATCGGATCAGCGGATCATGAGATATATATATATATATTTTTTTTATATGGGAGTTGAAGTCGGTTTTTTTTTTCAAAAAATTACTTGTTTTTAAATTCAAATCTCTACATATATATACAGGTATATAGTAAACCAGAAAGCCGGACAAGACGTTTTTCTAAATAAAAAATATTAAATTTTCCGTACACCCTGTAACAACGGTGGGCAAACGCGGCTCTTTGCTCAGAAAAGTGCAGCTCTTTTTACTTTCTATTTGCTTAGGACATTTTGGCTCTTTTTACTTTTTAAAATACATATTTCTTTGCTAGACATTATTTTCCATTGTTTCGTTTTTTTTTGTTTTTTTTTATTATTTTTATATACACATACGGAAATTGAGATCGGAACATTACCCGCAACTGGAGAATGAAAATTGGCATTCTGACTTAATGTGCTTTACCGATATGATGGAAACAGTGCTGGTGGGTGAAAAATCCGTACAAAATCCGTACGCTCAAATTTGTTTGGCGAGCAAAAAAAAATCTGTCATTGTTATTGTGGCTTATTAACATTTAATTTTAATATTTATACCTTTCATGAGCATGAAATGGTATTATAACTTTGGTCCGATGTTTGTAAGTACCAGAACAAAAAGAGATAGACCCATTAAAATGTATACTTATATGATCAGAACGTCGAGCTGAGTTGATTTATCCAGTTATAGTGGTCCGATTCTTCCGGTTCCGACAAATGATTAATACATTATAAAAATACACCCACCTACCAAATTTGATCCGGATATCTCGAAAACTGAGAGACTAGATTGCATACAAACAGACGGACAGACGGACAGACGGACA